TACTACTACTACTACTACTACTACTACTAGTACTAGTACTACTACTACTATTACTACTACTACTACTACTACTACTACTACTACGTCGACTACTACTACTACTACTACTACTACTACGACGACGACGACGACGACGACTACTACTACTGGTACTACTGCTACTACTACTACTACTACTACGACTACTACTACTACTACTACTACTATTACTACTACGACGACTACTACCACTACTACGACTACGACTACGACTACTACGACCACGACCACCACTACTACTACGACTACTACTACTACTACTACTACTACTACTACTACTACTACTACTACGACTACTACGACATCAACTACTACTACTACTACTACTACTACTACTACTACTACTACTACTACTACTACTACTACTACTACTACTTACTACTACTACTACTACTACTACTACTACTACTACTACTACTACTACTACTACTACTACTACTACTACTACTACTACTACTACTACTACTACTACTACGACTACTACTACTACTACTACTACTACTACTACGACTACGACTACTACTACTACTACTACTACTACTACTACTACTACTACTACTACTACTAGCGGGGTTACGAGAGGTGTCCATGACTTGTCAGAACATATGCTTGCGTTCAAAACAGCGTTTACAGTCTAGTCTCTTTGTTCTTGACAGCGCCCCGGATGGCCCAGGAAGCCCTCAAGATCGCGCGAAGACGGCCCAGGAGGCCCCCACGATGCTCCCAGGAGGCCCGTCAAACGCCGAAAGAAATGCCAAGAGGCCCCGAGGAAGCTTCCAAGTGACCTCCAGCGGCCCTCGCGAGGCCTCCACGCAGCTCCCGAGATGCCCCCCAAGAGGCTCCCCTGAGGCCGCGGAGGAGCTCCAAAAGGCTCCCAAGAAGCTCCCAGAGGCCATTCCGAGGGGTCTCCAGGAGGGCCCCGAGAGGCCCCGAGAGGCCCCCAAGACGCCCCGAGAAGGCCCCCAAGGCCCCATCATGAGGGCTTCGACTCACTCAGCAGACAACGACAGCAAAGGCAGCTGATCATGATCATGTCGCTTCCTGGCCCAACTTCAACGAAGTATTGGAAGGATCAGAGAAAGGCGAGACCGGGGCTCTTCTAGGAAACGGTCGTTGGCCACACAACGCTCTGGCACGCACGGCTGGCCGCACGCACCAAAGACTCCGCAATGAAGCAGCCACAGGATGTTCAGTGGGGTTGTTCTGGAAAGAATGATGCAGGCAGACTCATCGGCTCGTGCATGGGGGAGCCCTCCGCGGAGCGGCCTAGCCGCATCGCACGAAAGACTCCCCCGTGAAGAAGCCGCTGATGCTGCCTTGAGCTCTGCATACCCCGAGGGGGCCCGCTGAACCCGAGAGGACAATGTACGGCGGTCAAGCACTCCGAAAAGACCCCCAGACAGCCCAGAGAGGCCCTGGAAACGGCATCCGCAGGCGCCAGGCGGGCCAAGAGCGCCCGAGGACGAACCAAGAGGCCCCCGAGAGGCCCCCGACAGACCCCCCAGAACCCCCCAGGACACCCCCTCACCTGCACGGCTTCCCCCGGGGACGTAGGCGACCCGAGTAGGAGGAGGAGGAGGAGGAAGTGGAGGAGGAGGAGGAGGAGGAGGAGAAGGAGAAGGAGGAGAAGGAGGAGGAGGATGGAGGAGAAGGAGGAGAAGGAGGAGAAGTAGGAGGAGGAGGAGGAGGAGCAGGAGGACGGGTCGCCTAAGCCCTTCGGAGAAACCCTCCACCCCCACCCGCCTACGAGGTAAATACAACTCTCTATTCTTCGCAACGACCCGCGCAACCTGTATCCCTCAGCTCGTTTTACGTGCAAATGCACCATTGCCTCTGCGTACATCATTGTTAAGGAACCTACCTCTGGAGCCCAGGGGTCACGCGACCTGGAGCGGCCGCAAGACTGTATGAACGCTCCCCGGTATGGGCCGACCTCCCTGAGGAGACCGCAAGCCAGATCCACCAGATGCGACGCGGAAAAACAACGTCACGCCCACGCATCGCTGCGGCATGGCTGCCGCAGCTTTCCCAAGCGCTTTCGCGGATTTGAGCAGCAGCGCAACTGGAAAAATCATGAATCTCGATGAGATGGCGGCCTTAGAGGATGCGTTGGGCGCCGCGGCCGTTTGGGAGCACACCTGACTTCTTTCAAAGCCATCCGGACTGCTCTCGACCGACTTCTGTCCATCCCGAGGCATGCCTGGAAGTCCTCGGCGCAGCGGCAGCGGCAGCAGCAGCTGCAGCAAGCGGTGGGCGCGGTGGGCCCTGCCAGCGGGTGCAGAAGGGCAGGGCGGGAGGCCGGCAAGGGCGCCTCCGGGTCGTCTGCGTCCTCCGCCATGGTGGGCACCTCGAACGCGCCCACCCCGGTCGCGTGGCTCACGTGGCGGTGTATCAGCAGCCACCGGCCCTGGACCTGGCAGGGCGGCTCTCTTCCCTCCAAGCCGGCGATACGCAAGGGTGACCCTGGGTAAGAGCGACCTTTCACCAGCCTCGAACGTATCCCTATCCCTAAGATTGACACGCCAAAAGGCGATGACAATCTTAGGGATTCGCCCTCAAAAAAAAGGGAATCCTAAGATTGGCATCGTGACGAGGAGATGCCCAGCATAGGGATAGGGATATGTTCCAGTCTGGTAAACCTTTGGTGCGCGGCTTTGGGGGGGCCGCGGGGAGGCCACATCCAGGCGCGCTGGCCGCTGCTACCGCTTCGCGTCCCGCCGTCTGGGGGCCCGTCTGCGCCCGCACCAGAGGTCACTCCGGCGAAAGGTCACTCTTACGCCTAGTCGACCAAGGCAGCCGGTGCCCCGAGAAAGTCGAGGCACCCGGTTAGTCGCCACGTGCTCCTTCCAGGTCGGGGGTTGCAAAAGGTGCCCCTGGCCCAAGGTGCCCCCAGCGTTCCGCTCCATTTTGGTGAAACCCCTGGGGACATTTTGGCCTCGTGAACGGTACTCTTGAGGCCGTGGGGGCCTCCTTGGAAACCGTGGGGGCACCTTGGGCCAGGGGCACTTCTGGCAAAACTCGACCAGGGGCCAGATGCAGGCCCCACGGCCGTCAAACAACTGCTCAGGGATTAAAAAGCGGCTCTGGGGAAGAGGCCCTCTCCTCGGACTCCATAACTTTTTCCGCGACGGGGGCCCCCAGGGATCTCGACCTCTACTTGTGAACCACACTTTCGTCCTGAATCGAACACAAAAACGCAGCCTCTGAAGCCCGAAAACGTCACAAAAACTTGTTCGTCACAGCGCGGCAGAGGCGATCCGCGCGCGCGCTCTAGTGGGCCCCAAAAAGTGAAACAAATGCCGTCGCTATATGTTGCCCCGCCCAGACCTGAAGGTCGAAAGGTCTGGGGGGCCCACGCATCGAAAAAAATCGAAGTGCCGGCTGTCTGTGCTATGGGTCCTGCCCAGTTCCCCGGCTCTGGCCGCTCTGGGGCATGCTGGGGGAGCTACCTGGAACTGTCCTTGTTGGGGTTGGAACCGTTTTTCTGGCGATGATTATCCTCCTGCTCCTGCGCTCGTACCAAAGATGGCAACGTCTACTGTCCGCCCCTGCTGCTAGCCCAGGCATCTGGCGGGCGGTTATCTTCCTGCGTTTCCTCCTCCGCCCGATCCTCCTCCTCCTCCTCCTCCTCCTCCTCCTCCCCCTCCTCCTCCTCCCTCCTCCTCCCCCTCCTCCTCCTCCTCCTCCTCCTCCTCCTCCTCCTCCTCCTCCTCCTCTTCCTCCTCATCTCAATTTCTGTTCCTTATGAATAACTTCTCCCTGTCGCACTTCGAGGCCACTCGAGAGGGCGGGTTGGGCGTTTCGCCTGCGACGTCCTCACCATTTACGAGAGTGAAGCTCAAAAGCTGTCAACAGCTTCACACGGGGAGGGCGGGTGGCTTTCAATATGTGGCTCTCGCCCTAGCGCCGCGCACATTTGTTTGAACAAAATGAAAGAGCTTCCCAGATTGAGGGTGGGTGGTTTTCAAAATGTGGTTCTCGCCTTAGCGCCGCGCAAACTCGTCTTAAAAATTGCACGAGCTTCACTGATTGAGGGCGATTCGTTTTCGAAATGTGGCTCCCGCCCTAGCGCCGCGCGCATTCGTCGACAAAAGTTTCAACAGCTTTCGGAATGAGGGCGGCTCCTGTTCAAAATGTAGCTCTCGCCTTAGCGCCGCGCACATTAGTCTCAACAATTTGCAAGAGTTTTACTGGCTCTTGGTTCTCATGGTCAACGTACCAAAAAATGCTTGTTGGAGCAGGTCAAGACTGTCAGGGCGAAGCAGTTACGTTGATTCGCGGCATTGGATTCCCAGGGATGGCGTTCTGGCATAATCCAGGACCGTCAAGACGCAACAGTCAGGTTGACTCGTGGCGTGAAAGTCCTGAGAGTGGTGTTTTGGCACGCTTCAGGATTTTCACACGGTTGTCTCCCACCGGGGCACTTCCCTCAGTGGAAATGAACCCTTTTACGGGGCATATGAAGAGGGAGCTTGGAGGGAGAGTGTATTCCAGCATCGTTGCTGGGTCTTGGGCTTACACTGGTCTTCCTCCTTCTCCTCCTCCTCCTCCTCCTCCTCCTCCTCTTCCTCCTCCTCCTCCTCCTCTGCCTGATCTTCTTCATCATCATTTTCCTCCTCGTATTCCTCCTTCCCCCCGCCCCCATCTCCTCCTCCCCCTTATCGAGCTGGAGACGGGCGACTGGGACGAGGCGGCGGTGCAGTACCGCGGTCAGGACGGCTACCTGGACGTCTTCGGCGATGGCTCGGAGGGCGTGTAATTACAGTGACGACCCGCGCATAAGACAGTGCAGAGTCGGCGTGGTGATCATGCAGGGCTCGCTGGAGGCGCCTGGCGAATTGCGCGCGGCCGCTGGCATCGCTGCTGGGCTCCCTGGGCCGAAGCAAACCGTCCCGCGCGCCGAGCCCCAGGCCTTCATCATCACGCTGCGGCGCACCCGCGGGAGCCTGAGGTACCATACGGACCACATGCCGCTGGTGCACAAATGGCGTGAGCTGCGCCAGATGCACCCGCCGGGCAAGGATGCAGACCCGTGGTGGACGAAGGTTGCGAGATCGAGGCGATGAGAATATTGAGCTACGTTTCTTGCATAGTCACCAGGAGGAGCAGCTAACGGGTTTGGAGTATGAGTAGCAGGCGTTCCTTGTAGCGGACAACATTGCGCCGACAAGTTCGCAAGACGTGCTGCAGCCATTGTGTTAGAGAGTGTCACCTTGAACCCAAAGGTGTCCTTGATTGATGCTGTGTCACACATGGTTCGCAAGCGTGCGGTGCGTGCCCATCTTGCCAGTATGGAGGCTGATCCGATCAACTCGGGGGTGGAGCCAAAAGCCAAGCAGGTTCTTAGCAAGCGAGCGAGGCTCGTGGCGGCCTCCCCCCTACTCCTGAAACTCGTCGGGACCCGATGGAGCCGCAAGGTCTGTGAGCAGTTAGCCCAGTCTGATGCCCCTGCTGACTTTGCCTGTACGCATTGTGCTCCTAAGCAGTTTGCTGCTTTCGGCGCCGTAGGCGTTTGTCATAGTGCCGGCGGGGGGCGGGTTAAGGTGGGAGGTAAGCAGCTCGGCCCTTCGTATTCACTCATACTTGTAGACTGCATGAGCTTGCACGTGTGCACGACCTGTGGCTGCTATGTGTAGTCTCATGGCGGCGTCACTGGCCTTCCAGTGTCGTCCTGAGATTGCGGAGGGTGAGCAGAATTTGAGAATGCTGTGTCTGGGCAGTGGCCACACCCCAAAGGTATGCCCAAGGCGGTACACGAGGCTCTCGCCTGGAGGGAAGGATGCAGGGCCAGATCCAATGCCGACGCCGCCGACGCTGCCCTCAGGCCTGAGGGGGTTTGTGAGAGCGTGCAGAGCGAGCGTGAGCAGCAGCAGGCCTAGAGAGGCCTGAAATCAGCACGCCTCGTGCTTCCCAAGGTATTCCCTGTTCCTCCTCATGCCCCTCCTCCCCCCTGCCTCCTCCTCCTCCTCCTCCTCCTCCTCCTCCTCCTCCTCCTCCTCCTCCTCCTCCTCCTCCTCCTCCTCCTCCTCCTCCTCGGGAGGGCCACGCAGCAGTCGAACTGCGAGGGCTCCAAGGCAAGAACTCCCCGAGCATCGCCCGTGGCGATGCTACAGCCAGGCAGAGGCGAGGCATCCTGCCGTGCCGGAGGGAGGTCGATCTGCCCAGGGCGACGGCGGCCACTGCAATTCGGTAACGAAGTCCCAGGCAGATCAGCCCGCACCACGAGCCCGACGACGCCGCACGACGGAGACGAGGCGCGCTTAGGATCCGCACCAACGCACGGATTTGGGAAGGGCCCACCCTGCGAAGGTGGGCCTCCCTCTCCCAGGGAGGGAGGGGGAAAGGGAGGATGAGGAGGAAGAGAAAGAGGAAGAGCAGGAGGAGGAGGAGGACAAGGAGGAGGACCAGGTCATCCTGGCGAGGGCCCCACGTTGAAGAGGAAATGGCTTTGCATCCTTCTGGCACACACAGGCGGACCTAGGTCAGCAGAACCTCCTCCAAGAACATGAGACCCTCCGTCGGCCAACACGCACAAAACATTCAAGGGTACCCTCCCCAGGATGCACAAAAACACCCAACAAACACCAAGAGCATCAGGGCACCCTCGCCGAACCGACCTCGATCTTATGCCTCGGCCCGACCGTAACCAGGAGCGCGAGAACTCACATCGTACTCAGCGAGGTGTCCAACGAGAGCCTCCTTTCCAAGAAGGGCCGCCCTGGTCCGTGTTTTGTCCAGGCTTACACGTGCGGTCACTGGTTTCAAAGGGGCCTCGAGCGACGGCTGCATTGTGAAAAAGAGCAGCCCTGGATCCGTGTATGACTACTTGCTTTGAAGCTCTGGGTGTTCAAATGTTCCCGAGGGCTCGAGCGACAAGCCCATCCTGGAAGAAAGCAGCCCTCCATCCTTCCTCATGCTGCACTGGGATAACGAATGCGTGCGGCGCTGCGGCGAGAGTAACACTTTGAAAACGATCTGTGCTCAATGCTCGCATATGTTGCAAGAGTTTGAAACTGAGGAGGGGGAGGAGGAGGAGGAGGAGGAGGAGGAGGAGGAGGAGGAGGAGGAGGAGAGGAGGGGGAGGAGGAGGAGGAGGAGGAGGAGGAGGGAGGAGGAGGAGGGGAGGAGGGGAAGGAGAGGAGGAGGAGAGGAGGAGGAGGAGGAGGAGGAGGAGGAGGAGGAGAGAGGAGGAGGAGGAGGAGGAGGAGGAGGAGGAGGGAGGAGGAGGAGGAGGACGAGAAGGAGGAG